GTTCTCTGATTACGCTAACATGATTGCAAGACAAACTTCTGCTTTAATTGTAGCGATTTCTTTCTTTAGTGCTTTTATACAATTTTATTCCAATGTTATCACGTAAAAATAAAGATTTTAATAATATAGTTAAGCTTTGCATATATACTTCGAAAGAAATATAGACTAGAAATATTTATTATTAATATTAACTAGGACAATACGAAGCAGTGCGCGATATTTTACTCATAACAAACAAGCATTAAGCAAGCTAAAATACAAGTAAAAACTCATGCTGACTGAATATAGTATATAAATCATAAACATGTAAGATAACCACAGTCGGATTGAAATAGAGGCCCAGAAAAGGAAAACTATTCGTTACTACAGTTTATTGTTACAATTAATCACCTCATAGCAGCTTTAAAAACAAAATAATAATAGTATTTAATTTTTTAAATAAAGAATTTATAATAATTGCTAAAAAATAACATAAACAAATAAAATACGAAAACAACCACTGGAGAACTGAAGCCTCAATATGACACAATTTACAATGCCGTTTAAACCTTTTCAGTTGCTATCATCGGTTTGATTCGCAAGTGCTGACAGGCAGTTTGGAGGGAGTCTAAAACAATGTTATTTAACGGTTAATTTTTGATATTATAAAGCTTGATATGAAGAGACTTGTAAACAACGATGAGATAGCTGTGTAACCATTTAAAATTCTTGAATTATGATGACACCAAATTTTAGTTATCTTGGCTTAATATATTAATATAATTTCATAAATTTAAAAACAACCAGTATCAATAAAATTTAGACAACATCTATTTTTTTATTGTTATTAAAGTGCTGGCAGAAGTCCTTACAGTCTTATCACAGAGCACCGCTAAAGAATATTTAACTAGGAAGTTGACGCCTCTTTCCTTAACAAGATCGTTTATTAAGCTAGGACCGGCCACAAGCCTCTTGGTTCTAAACTCTAACCACTGCGCCACAGTAGCACAATATCTAATTAATTAATATTATAACTAACAAGTAATTACCAGTAACAAACTAAACATATTGAAAAATTTGAAAAATAATTTTAGTTTAAACTTATATCACAATAAAAATCAATTTACAATTATAACCAAATGTGGAATACATACAATTATACTCATGATTATTCAAACATAAGAATATTCGATAATCTTGGACCAAATTTTTTTTTAAGTTTTATTTTACAACAAATTAAAATGTATATATAACACCGTTTAATAATTTGATTGAGGAAAACAAAATAAATGATTTTAAACTTTACTACAGCGTGATTAGTGACTTAACATGGAAATACATGCTACCAAATACTATTTAGTAAGTTTTTATATAAATAATATTTTATAAACAACATACATGCTTTACCATATATGATGAAGCATTTATAACAGATAATTATGTAAATAATAATCTATTTATCAACTGATAATTAAAATTTAAATAAAAATTATGAAAAATACCATGGAGGTACCAAATGAAATTTATGTGAAAACCCCTGCAAGTGAACCATCTTATGAGAGATTTAAGATTATTTTTATGAGTTAAAATTATTAAATGCCATAGTTTTTATTTAACATTTGTTAAAATAATGTATTTTCTTCTGGTAATCATTATTCAACACAAACCAACTCTAAAAACAAAACATAGATACTATTTAGTCTTTTAAATAAAAAAATTTCTTAAAGCCTGAAACAAAAACGACATAAATAAAAAAAGTATTATCAAAAAAAACTTTTGTTGTTATTTTTTTAAATAACGCTCATACTTTAAAAAAAACTGATTATGAATACAAAAATTACAACACAATAACATGTGTAAAGATACAACTATTTATGTTATCTACACATGTAATACAAAATTGATCCCAATTTTTTCAAATTAAAATTGGCATCATGTTTATTTCAACTTGTCACAGTCTTGCATTTTATCCTTTAAAGTTTTATTTTACTTTTAAAAAATATACTGTAACAATGATTTTTTACTTCTGCAATCGCCATTGTTTTTTTTATTTAGACTAATACATTTTTTAACCAACTTTGATTGTTGTTGTTGAGGTTGCTACAGGGAACATAAAAAAAATTATTTTTTACTGTTAATGTTTGATGTAAGCAATAAGGCTCAGATGGAGTAATAAATAAATAGTCCTTATGGAAAACTAATAGTAATTTATTAACATTGTTGAAATGACATGGTTAAATTTTACTAATACATTTGAACTCATTGTTATACTTAATATTTAGTTTGTTTTTTCAACTATTTGTTTTTAGTATAAAGACTTAATATGTGTAGGTGAAGTTAGAATACAACAAACAAGAATATACATCAAACTTTTTTTTTAATGATTTTTTCAAATAAAATAATTTTTTTCTTTTAACTAAAAATCTCCTTATAAATAAAAGTAATTTTTCACGTGTTTATTTTGTTGAATATTTCATGTATTCATTTTTTCAAATAAAAGAATTTTTTTTTACCTAAAAATCTCTTTATAAGCAAAAGTATTTTTAAAGCAAAGTTATTAATAATTTATATTCTGTAAACTTTTTTATACTTATGTTATCTAGGTCTTTGACCGAACTAGGCATTAAAAAGTGTTGACCATAGAAAGTGGCTCCAAGAGCAAAGATTTGTATGAGTTTTTAAAGATTTTTTTTCTTTTATATTTTCATCTTTTTTATGTTTGTTTTATTTAAACAGGTTGTGGCAAAAGATGCTTAAACTGTTATTATCACAAATAATTTGAGCGCAAAAATTAAAATACCAATTTCAAGGCAAAAGCTGCAAACAATCAAAAATTCTTGTAAAACCTATCCAACCATTATGGTAAATTATTACAGCTGAAGCATGTGTCTATCCCATCAATGTTTGTTCTTTCTGCAGGCTGATTCAAAACAACATCAATTAGCTTATTATTATACCTGTTAACTAGAAACATTCGTTTTATTTTTTTTTTCTTTAAACTTGTATGCTTTGCAACAATAATTTTTTTTAAAAAATAAATTCACACTTGACTTCCTTCTCTCATTTTAACTAACAACATTATCAGATTTACAACTTTGGTTTTTAAGTAGTTTAGTAATTATACATACCCAAAAATAAATTTAAAATTTAGTTTTTAGATAAATATATCAATAACAAATTTGGTTGTTATGGACGTAACTAAGTATGTTTATTAAACTCATAATCAATAAAATCAATTTTATAAACAAGTTTTTGTTATTAAAATCATATTAAGTTATATATGGTTGAGAAGCCAGTTAAATTTTATACAAAATTGGCAATTAAAATAAAAATTAATTTTTTAACGAAAATCTAAATTTATAAACGAAATTTTTTTTTTCGTTTATAAATATGGTCTGCCATTTGTAAAAAGGGAGCCGATTTATGAAAAATTAAAAATGCAAGTTTAGAGCATTAAAAGTTTCAAATCAGTTAAATATAATTCAAAACACGTTTTGATAAATATAAAATACTAATAAAAGTTTTTTTTACCTAGCTTAGTTTTTTTAACCTAGGTTTATTAAAAAGTATTATAATTCATAAAAATGCTTCAAAAGCGTCTGTAGTTTCACTTTTCTATTCAAAGTTTAATCTCTTTCTAACCTGAAATGAATTTAGGAAATATAAATTATTATTTTACAAGTATACTTGTAAAATAATAATTTAAAATATATATTCTAATTTCCTCCTACCGCATTTGGATAAATAACATTTTTATTTAAAACATATTTACTTCACTTTACAAAAGAAAAGTTGAATAATATTTGTTTACAAATTTATCATTTGTAAGAAGAGCACTTGTAAGAAGAAATTTGTAATATTTGTTTACTATTCCATCATTTGTAAGAAGGCCAAAAGCGGCTTCATTTTTTAGATCGTTGTTAGACGCCTAGTTTAATAATATATTAAGCTAGGCGTCTAACATCGGTGTCTAATTACTAGTATAATATATCATTGGGATAAGGCGTTTTCGTCATACCCGAAAAGGCCCTGGTTTGAATCCCTCATTTGCACAATTTTTCTTCTTTTTCTATTATATCTCCTTGCTCATACATTTGCTGCGACTCCATTCATCTTTATTTTTATATAGAATACACATCTCTCAACATCGAATTTCTCATATCATTTAAGCCTCTCAGTGTTTTTTCCAAGTAAGGCGTACACTAGGGGTATGAAAAAAAATAATTTTAATATTTTCAAATGAGCATGTCACCTAGTTATGAGTTTTTATATTTAAAAATAAGTTATATTAACTTTCAACCTTTTTAAAAACGCGCTATTTTTAATTTTAGTTTAACTTAATGCTCTGCGAGGGAAAATTTTTTTGTTTAGTTAATTTGTGAAATTAAGCGTTGCGTAATTTGATCTAATCAAATAATAAATTTTGAAAAGCATTAAAACCTCAGCTGTTATACAAATACTCAATATGTATAAAAAATTGTATGGCAATAAAAGCATCAAGAGATGTATAGAAAAATAATTTGATTCACTTCGAGAAAAGTAAAAGATTACGTTAGAGTAAATCCCAATTATTATTAGGAACAATTTGTAAAATGCCAACAAATTGGCAAATAATTAACCAATACACAACATCAGACCATAAAAATGTGAAAGGACGAATAAAGATAACTTCAGATAAAATGGGCTTTTTGAGTTTTTCAACAATAATTTGAATTTTTCAACAACAGACAAAAGATCAGTGCCACGAATATGAAAAAAATTGGTTAAAAAGAGACAAATAGAAATCACCCAGCCATCATTGACATACGATTACCGTACAGGGCCCATACGGGTCATCATTTGGATTCCGTATGGAAAGACCAACGGTATCCCGCCGGATCTTGGTAGCGGCTTCCATATAGAGCCCATATGCCCGTCGGGTACCCTGTATGGGTCACACGAGGTTTACCCATTAAAAATCTTGCACAATTACGTTAAAATGTTTAAAACTTACATAAAAAGCAAGTTTATATATAACTTGATTGGTTTATTTCAAACAAAATAAATAAAATTACACTGTCGAAGTTAAGCAAATTTTTAAACGATTCTATACATATCTATACATATCGTGTATTCAATGCTTTCACGGTTATTTCGTAAATTAGAACCTTTTCCATTGTTGTTAAAACGGCTTCTTTAAAAACTTCTTTACATAATATCTCATTTCAATAAAACCTGTAAAAAAAATAAAGTTAACTGTTAATCTCAAGTTTTATAGGTAACACAAACATTATTTTGAAAATGATATAAAACTCTGACGATTTCTCCGAAAACTCTCAAAATAAAATGTTTTATTTTTTACCATCGAAGGTTTAAAATGTACTTGTAATAAATAAGCACATACTTGTGATTCATATAAAAAATTGATAGCATTCCTCTAGTTACTGATAAATAAATTATATAAAACTATTACATAAATATAACTTTATATTTATAATGAATATAATATATATATATATATAAATATATATATATATATATATATATATATATATATATATATATATATATATATATATATATATATATTGTTGCAAGTTTTTTTGTACCAAATAGAGATACAAAGCCTCTTGTACATTTTTTTAGAGTGATCAATATAATGTATATTAATTATTTACAAAATAGATCATCAATTATCGATAAAAGTTTGACTAAATGAAAAAAATATAACTTTAATGAACAAATACAACTTTATGATGGAACTTAAAGTTTCATGCCATTTCACCAATCATCAGCCATATATATATTTTTTAATCCAAATTTGCAATTAAAAATATATAATCATATATAATTTTAATAGAACTTTTGTGTTTTTCCTTTAGTTAAACTTTTTTTTCACACTTAGGTTTCACCAATTAAGACTCATCAGAAACCTTTATGTAAAGTGTCGTGGTTACTCGATCCAAGCACCCCCTTCCTTCAAAAATCAGAAGAAACTTTGAAAAGAAACTTTGTCACCGTGTCAAAATTTAATTAAATTTAACACACCACTAAAATGTTCAGAATGATTTTGGTGAAAAAAATCTAAATCAGTCCACACCACTTTTCTTTCTGAACACAACGCTCTCATCAGTTATAATCATTCTGTCCCTTAATATACTTAACAAATGTTCTAGCTGGTACATTACATATGATAACAGCAAGATTGATTTCATACTCAATATTTTCATAGATAAAACCATCTTTTGGAAAAACTTTAAACTCAACCAAAAAATTATGTATACAATCAAAAATGGATTTAGGCTTTTGAGCACCTTTTTTTAAACAAATCTCTTCTGGGGATTTACTAAATAAATATTAAATAAAACCCAATTGAGGTCCCCAAAATTGCAAGACCTAGGCCTAGGCTCTGGCAGCAACCAGCATTTATAAAGCGTGTACACAAAATAAATATGAAAGAATAAGTACGTTATTTTTTTACAGTGGTTATATTAAAATCTTTTTAATTGTTTTGTATTTTTTTTTTCAACGTGTTGTGATTTCAAAAAAAATGTTTTAATTTTTTGATTTAACTTAAAATTAGTTTTAAAAGTTACAAAAGAAGAAGACATAAAAGAAAAAATTATGCACAAATATTTGGAAAATCCCGATAGTAGCTACAAATCGATGGCAAAAGATTTGTAATTACATCCATACACCGTTAGTCGTTTAATCCAATGTTTTTCTCAAACAAAATCAATCAAATGTAAATCTGGTGGTGAAAGAAAGATGACTTCAATTGAACTATTGAAAAGAGCGGTGGTGAAAGAAACATGACTTCAATTGAACTATTTAAAAGAGCAGTTAAACGATACTTATTAGATTTAAATAATAAAAACATTCTTTTGTATTTTTAAAAACATTTATATATCGATTTGTTAACACGTATATATGCATCTTATAACTTATATGCTTTATAAGCTGTAATATGTTATAGTATGTACAAAACTTGTAATATGTTTAAAAGTTATATAACGTATATTTTAGGAACTTAATACGTAAATCTTATTTGGTATTTTCACGAACTTAGGAGCAGGGTGATAAGACGCATTGTCTACTACTTGCTCCTGTCAGAAAACAACTTGAGTTGTCAGTTAAGCTTGTTGCTGGAAAATAGGCAGATATCTGGTTTTCATACCAAATGTTCAACCCAGAAAATGGCAAAATATCGGAGGAACCCATTAAAGATCATCTAAAGACATTTACGATGTTTTGGTGTGATATTTCTTCTTCTATAAATACGCAAAAATCCAATATTTTTGCCGAGCGAGTAGTAAAAGTTTTAGAAGATATCAAAAGCCTTTGCAAATCTAAAGAAACATTGTATTTAAAATATTTATTGACAAATCACAATTAAAGCAAATGAAAACCTTTTTAGTTAAAGTAGTTTTATCATAATTGTTTTTTTGAACATTTTGATGTTTTGTTAATTTTATCAATATAACTTTATTTACGTAATATTTTCATCACTTATTTAAATATTTACTTCAAATTACCGGTAAAGAATTTCTAGTATTTGGACAGTGAGTGAGTTTTTTTCTAGAATTCTTATTATGAAACTAAATTACTTTAGTTATATACAAAAGCTCGTCAAAATATGACATGCTCATTGAGTTTGTAAAAATATTATATTCCTAGCGAGCATACATATTCCGGGTTTTTCATCCATTTAAAAAAAAATATAACATCTTTTTAAAATTAAAATAAATTTCATTAAATTAAGATAAATCAATATAATATTGTTAAAAATAATTTTATATAATATTAAATAAATAAATATATGAATAAATTCTTTTTTTTTTGAATAATATAGAATGTTGAGATGTTTGCGCATGCGTTAAATGTTTTATTTTCGGAATTTCGGAAATCGAAATCATGATTCTTTTAATTGATTATCATTAACGTATCATGGATGTTTTAAATGAACGTTATAGCTGTTTTAAATGTAAATCATAGTTGTTTTCAATGGATGTCTAGAGTTACAAAAAAACCCCGGTTTTTTAAACTAATTACATGTAATTTTGAAATTTATTATTATGTCAACTATTAACATAAAGTTTTCAATAATTGTCTAAAAAATGGTTTAATTTTTTTTTTAAACAACAGGTTACTGAAGCAACCTTACTACACATACAGAATGTTTAGTAACGTCAGTTGAGTAACTCCATTTAGTAACACTGTCCAGAATATTTTTTGTTTTTAACTTCTAGTCATAGATTATTCTGCATCACATATTTGATTTTCGAGATCTAAATTATGGGAAATAGAAACTAATTTTGATACTCCTTCATTTGATGATCATGGGCCAATCTACCCCGGTGGGACCACTATGCCATGTTGGTGTGGAAGCCCATTTCCCACGAGTGTCCTGGGCTGTGAATCCTAGAGAATTTTTTTTGAAATAAAAATTTTTAGAATTTTTTTTCGAAATAACCTTGAAAAGTTCACTCAAGTTAAAGTTTCAATGTTCAAATATACAAAAAAATTTTGTTCAGATTTTTTTCTTGATTATAGTGTTTACTATAATCAAGTCGTCAATATTGTTTGTTTGTTTGGTTTATTCATGATCTACAAAATTTACAACTTATTAACAAAGAGCTGCACACTAGGGTGTGTCATACTTTATGATTTTTTGAAAAAAAAAATTTTGTAATTAGCTTTGACTTTAACCACATATATTATTTTGCGTCCACGCATTTTTATACACAAGTAATTGTTTACACCTACTCACGTTGAATTCTATTTGATATCAAAACTATATAAAGATGCCAATTTATAAATTGTTGAACATTTAATTTGTATGTTAAATGTTAAAAAATATTATAAAAAGTTTTAAAAAATAAAAAAAGTTTGCAAGTTATGAACTTTACTATTTATTAATGGCAGAGTCTTCAAGAACAAAAAAAAGAAGTGGATCAAAGCTTTCGGAATATATCCCAGTGGGAACACGACGTTATTTCGACGTTGATTTACAGTTGATTTTTAGTCGCGACGTCGTATAACCAAAAATCAACGTTGTATCTACGTTGAAAAATTTGTTTAAAACTATCAAATAAAATCGACGTTGATTCCACGTTAATTCAACGTCTATATTACGAGTTCGACCGTTCGTAATTGCAATAAGAGAACTAAAATACGCATGCGTGACTTAAAATTTTTTTTATTAGCATAACAAATAACAAGTAAAGACTTAAAAAGTTACTTATTAGCCCAATAAAAACAAGTAAAGTCACACATGCTAATAAATAAGGCCATCTGTTGCTTTTTTATAAGGTTTTGAATTTGACAATTTAACAATAATACATGGCTTAACTTGTGATGCAGTTAGTAAGGTAAATATTAAATCGATATTTCTTTATGACCGTATTATTTCATGAGTGTGGATTACAAGTAGAGATTACTTGATATATTATATAAATATAAAATATATATTATATATGTTTTTCTTATTTATATATATATATATATATATATATATATATATATATATATATATATATATATATATATATATATATATATATATATATATATATATATATATATATATATACATAATAACTAACAGAATAGTAAGCAAGTACCTTCTCCTGTAACGCAAAAAAAGAAACAGAAAACAATTTTTATGCGTACTCCACATACTGTAGCTCAAGGTATTAATTGTTTGTCTGCAAGTTGATGTAGACAGAAAAGATACTGAACATTTTTTTCTATGCTTCAGTGATTTACACATTTTATTGGTTGCTAAATTATACATTTTATTTAATTTATGAATAATGTTTTATTTTATAAATGTTTTGTTCTTGTCTTTCAACGCTTTTAGAAATTAATTAATGTTTGGTTCTTTTGTCTTTCTGATATATCTTTATTGTTAGAAAGAGATGTTAGTAAAAACTCTTTCCAGTAATTAAAGTAATATCATGACAAATAGTTCTGTAATTCTATGGATGAACTTGCTGTAGTAATTTAATGATTATGATAACAGTTTAAATGATTCTTGGGTGAGGTCAGAAGTGATGGGTTGTTTCAAACCATGACTTTTTGCAGTTTCTTTATTGTTTTTTGAAAAAGTGTTTATTAATAATTTAGCCTAAGTTAATCTACTTGTAACTTTTTATAAATGTGCTATAAAAATAATGTGGTGTAATTACTTTCTTAAACCTTTAGGTTAACAAACTTTCTAAAATTGGAGGTAA